AAACTTCCAGGATGTTAGGAAGGGAAAGCAATTGCATGCAAACTTCTGAGAACTATAAGTAATCACAGTAGTGTGCATTTTTAAAATTTGTCTTGCCTGATTCCTTTCACAGCCATTTCCCTGGGATCTAATCTCCATTTTAAATGAGCCAACCCATTGTCCTCTGTTCACACTTCCTCTTGAAATCTAAGTCTTTTTCTCTAAACCCAGCATCCATCTGTGCCACTTGCTGTTGTGTTTTCTAATAAAAGTAAATACTACTTTAAATAGACGACTTTCATGCAAGTTTGGGTCTTAGAGATGGCAACAAAACTAGGCCTGTACAGATTGACTACTAGTTTACACTTAAACTGTCCTTGTGCTTTTCAACCAATAGGATGAGGAAATAGTGTATGATTTGTTATCTTCTCCAATTATTGTGTGCAGTTATTTTCACTCACCAAAGTCAGGACAAACAAAAGATGTTCCTTTTGTTTGAGCTGCTATAGACACCAAACAGAACACAGTTCCTTGCCTTAATTCAGCTACCCTTAAGTGGGTCTTAAAGTGTTGCGTCTTGCTTCTGGTGCACTCTCTCTCTCAGTGCAGCTACAGCGAGATCTTGCTCCCTTTCCAGGTACTTGCAAATTCCTCTCCCCTTTCTAGCAGTTCCCACCTTGATGCAGCCTCACCACCTCTCCTCCCTTACCTTCTGAGGCCACAGGTTTGTACAGGAGGCTTGTGCTTTCCAAGCTTGATTAGTGTTCTTTTGAAAGGTTTTTTAAGAAACAAAGCTTCACACAGGAAACTTTGTCCAGCTTTGCATTCACATACTTTTGCATCAAATTAGTAAGCCTGGTTGAGAAGGCTTTACAGGAAGGCACTCTCTCCCCATCCGTTATCTTGTGACCCAGGAGATCATAACCCATACTTTGGGAAATGAAAATAATTTTGCCTCCTCAAGACAGCTCTGGACATATTTCTCAAACAAAAGCCTCTTATGTCTCTGCCAAACTCTTTAGAAATCAGGGGAATCTTCAAACAAACTTGATGACATAGTATAGGAGTTTGCCCTTCAAAGAATAAAAGCCTCACTAGGCAACTGCATATCTCTGGATATATAGTCAGGTCCAGAAATATTGGGACATTGACACAATTCTAACATCTTTGGCTCTATACACCACCACAATGGATTTGGAATGAAACAAACACAATGT